CCCCCCCCCCCCCCCCCCCCCAAATCTGTCAATAAAAAAGGGAAAAAATAGTCAATGGGAGTGGAGCAAAACATGGATCCCAGAAGATACTCTAACAAAGTCTATTATATTAAGTTGCATCTTTTTATTAGTTTTCTTTTTAGAAGGGAGGATAAAACTGATGCAGGAAAACATTAAAACCTTCCTGGCTTGCCTACCCCTCTGGATTCTCCAAGATACATGAAACACCTTACTAATTGTTGAACCTTTATTTTAATCCTTGTAAAGAAAAAAAATATGTTGAATGTTGTAGTATTATGATTTTGGTCTTTTAGTTCATAAATGGTCGCTTTATAGTATCTTCTATGAAATTCATGCCAAATATTAGCTTTAAATTTAAAATAAGTATAGTGTCATGGTAAGTATCTAGTAACCGGTACTGCATCAGAAGATATCTTGTGGCTGACTGTACCTTGTACATTGTGATGCTATTCCCATTTCTGTCAATATTTTATCATTATGAACAAAATAATAATGACATTAACTTCTCTTAAAAGTTGAAACTCTCTCCGATTATTCATTGTTTGAAAGAATTTCCACAAGAATATATTGGTTATTAGGTAATCGAGATTTTATTCGTAAAATGCGGTCGACAATTAGTTCGTAAGGATTTTGTTAATATTTATATATCTTTTACCTTTGACAAGTGACAGATATTTGTGGTCTGCTTGAATAAGAGGAAGAATAGCCAAAAAATAAAGATGGACTCGGATCATCTAATGAGTATTACCTCATATTACCATGTTATACAGCTAGTTGCAACTAGTGATTGTAATTTCATTCTACACTGGGGAACCCTCCATGTCTCCCAGTAAGATTACGGACTAATATTGCTGCCAACTCTAGAAAAGTCAACAATTTCACTTGAATTGTGTATCGTACATGTATAACAGGTCCACCTCTTAAATTTTGTGATCCGTCTAATCATGGTTGGTGTGGGTGCAATGACTTTGTAAAGAATTGAGCTTGTGAGACTCTAGAATGTACGAACGAATATGTAGAAACTAAATTATTGGTTCATATAAATATAATATTTGCTCAAAATTGAATTGGGCTGTTAGGTACTAGGTTGCTAGAATTTTTTTTTTTTGCAAACAGATCCAAGAATATCTTCCAGTGAAATTGATGCTTGCAAAAAAGCATAAAAGATTGCTGGGTTGACGATGTATGTACAGTTTATAGGTGTGAGATTTCCTGTTCCAGACTTAGCTATAGATATTTATTGTTCTGTAGATTTGTGCATGCATTTAGGATGTGAAAAGTGGAATTGGTTTATCATGGCCACGACTGACAACCACATGGTGGATGGCTGTTTTCTGAATAGAAAACCCTATCATTTTGAATCGAATTTGAACAAAGTAGTATGTGAATTTTAAGAGAAATCTACTAATCCGAGATGCTTGTGTGGGTATATCACCCCTTTGGGGTATTTAAGGACCTTGGTCAGGATGCATTTAATGATTCATAATATGCGTTTTTTTTTCTTTTGTGGTGGATAATTTATTTCTTGTTACAGGATATCGCTCGAGGAATTTTCTACCAAAGTTATTCAAGATTGTATGGTGAAAAATAACATGAACTGTATTCTTAAAATTAATTGTCTTTGTGCAGGACAAGAGGAACGCAGCTCCAATTAAGGGATTTGATGTGAAAAGAACTAGAAGGGACCGTGGGGAGCTGCTTTTTGAAAGGCTGGCTAACTGGACATTGAAGCAGCTGGTCCAACAGACTGATCAACCTGCGGTATGTCTTTCATTATTATTGTTCCACTAGTTGCAAATTGCAATCTCTCTCTCTAAAATTGTGGCTTCTACGAGTTGAGTTTTTCTCTTTGTAGAAAGGCAAAAGCACAATATCTGTGGTGAATCTGTTTATCAGCATTTTTAGTTTTAAATATCCTGTTTATAATACCATTATTTTTCTTTTAAGAAGATTAGTCAAGGCTCTTCACTTCTTTTACCCTCTACATTGCTTTAGTACTGCATTGTTTTGAAGTCTTGACACGTTCGACCATGACAACCCACTCAATTACCTTTTAAAGGATATGGAAACAAAATACAAAACAAATAAAAAGTATAAAATGTTCAATAGAAGTATTGTTGTTTCATATATATGTGTGTGTGTGTGTGTGTGTGTTTATTTATTTTTATTATAAAACAACAAAGAAATAAGTACACGAGGGATTGAAGTGAAGATGATAATTCAAAAGTTTTGGGCAGAGCTATATTAGTGTCATTAAGTTGGAACCAAGGATGAAAGAAAGCTGTTTACAAAATAATTTGATAAAGGTAAAATAGAAGTTTACATCTATACTAAGTTGAACTTGAGAGTACTAAGGAGTAAAGCTAGAGAATTTTATTCATGACCATGATATCAAATAAAGATACAAACTGTTTTAGTAAATTATTTACTGAAACCCATAGCTAGGATGATAGGAATTTATCCAACTTTTAAAGATAAAATGATAACTATCGTAGAAGAATCCGGGTCTCAAAAGTAAGGGAGGCCATGGGAGGATGAATTAGAGAAAACGATTGGTTGGGGTGGAATATGTGTCAAGTATGGAAGTGCTTAGATGAGAATATTGATATTTATAGCATACAGTACATTCAATGAGATCTTAAAGAGAGAAAATGTATGGATGAAGATTGTTAGTTGTTCCTATTTATGGAGTGCAGCAACAACAAATCTAAGATTTGTTTCAACAAATTTGAAGTTGGCTGCATGAATACCTTTTCACCAATTTATTCAGTGCCAACTTTATCATACTCGTCCTTAATAATATATTATCAAATAGAAATTCCTTTATCTCGACTTTTTGCGGATAAATGAAAACCAGATGTAAATTTTGGTTATTTTATGTGATTATCTCCCTAGTAAATGGCTTCCATAATAAACCTCCGTAGCATATAGCCAAATTGATTTATGATTTTTTTCAATTATACCTTAATATATGTTCAATTAACTTGTCCCATAATTTCATGGTATAACCCATGAGTGTCAATTCGTGGATGTTGATGTAGTTTTGGTTGAATGTTGATGAGTGAAGAGTATGTTTTTACTCACGAGTTTTATACAATTTTAACTTGATCTTTGGTTAAATCTTATGAGTATAGAACGCTTTTGATGTGTTTGCTAGTGTTGTTTTATAGGTTGATAAGGTGGTGTAAAAGGGTGCTAAAGTGAAGAAACAAGCCAAAAATCAAGGAAAATAAGCAGAAAGTCAACGCTTATGTGCCATACTAGGAACGCCCAGGCATCCTAAAACTGAATTTCCATGCAATAAGTCAGCGCCCAGGTGCTATTTCGGGGAGCGCCTAGGCGATAAGAAATTGGATTCAAAGCAGCATCATGGTGTCCAGGCGTTGTGAAGGTCTAGCAAAGGAGTAGAAGGGTAGCGCCTAGGCGCCACATAGGCAGTTCATCGCAGTGCTCAGGCGTTGCCTACCAGTGTTTAGGCGTCGCTTCGCCTGTTTTAGGGTTGCACCGTTTGGGCACATGAGAATCCCCAGAAAGACTCCAAATTTAGGAAAAACGTGGGGAGAAGTATTTATAGAAGTTATTGACATTTTTGAAGGGATTCCACACATTGAGAGGCATAAGATACAACTTGAAAATCAATTTTAGTTAAACAAAATATTAGTTATAAGAATTCATCTAGAACCACACCAATTAGTATATGCATCTCTACATGTTATACTAGATTACCGAATTTTAATATGTGGTCTAAATCTAAAACTCACATCTCGATTTGTAATAAATTCACAAAATCATTGAATTAGTGATTAAGTATTTCAAAGCATTAAGTATATAATTAAAATCAACACATAAATAATGAAATAACTTGAATTTTGAATAAAAGAAATAAAAAATCTCAAAAGATTATATTGCTTGTCCTAATAGAAAATTTAGCTACTCTTAATAATGGAAGAAAAACTAAAGATTTGCATTGATTGCATCACTGGGTTTTGATTGAGATGTAGAAAAGAGGATAAATCTTGCACCAAGTTCTCTTCTTGCCTCCAATCTTGATTTCAAACCCTAACTCTCGATTTCTTGTTTTTCTCTCGAATTTTCAAGTTGTATCTTATGCCTTTCAATGTGTGGAACCCCTTCAAAAGTGCCAATAACTTGTATATATACTCATCCCCATGTTTTCCCAAATTTGGAGTCTTTTTGGGCTTTTTACAGGCCAAAATTGTACAACCCCGAAATAGACGGCGCTACACCTAAGCGCTGGTGGGCAGTGTCTGAGTGCTGCGATGCACTACCGTGTGGCACCTAGGCGCTACCTTTTTGCTCCTCTCCGCGAGCTTAGCTACGCATGGGTCATGGAGCCTAGGCACCTGTTGCCTCTTGTAATCCGATTTCGTAATGCCTGGGCACTTCCTGGCGCTTGGGCGTTGACTTGCTGCATGGAAATTCAGTTTTGGGATGCACTCCCAGTAAGGTGCCTAAACGATGACTTTTTGCTTATTTTCCTTGGTTTTTGGCTTGTTTATTTACTTTAGCACCCTTTTACACAACCTCACCAACTTATAAAACAACACTAACGCAAAAGCGTTCTATACTCGTAAGATTTAGCCAACAATCAAGTTAAAATTGTATAAAACTCGTAAGTAAAAACACTCGTCATACTCTCAAACTATTATAGTCCTTGAGCAAACAAAATACAACAAAAAAGAAAATCACTAGAAAATACACAAAACACTCAGTCAGATAGCTTGCTTTTTTGGCTCATTATTGAGACAATTATATCACATTTATGAACGGCTTCAAAACCACAACGCAGGAGCCAAATTTTCACTTAACCAATGCAAAATGGGTGTGTGAGTGAGGAATCAAGTGTAACCCCGTACATTCACAAGGTGGTTCAATTCCTAACCCACTGTAGTCAATTATCTCCTTTCTATCCTCGTAGGATTCACACACCCTCAAACTTGTTTCTTTCATTCTCTCGCCAAGGTATAATTCTAAAGTTTAATTTCTTTGATCAGTTCCTTACACCACTCAAATTTGGTTTAGTCTAATCAGTAACGTTAACAATTCATTTATTTGATGATTCTCCCAACTACGAGTGCTTCAACAATCAAGTTTATACAAAATGATTCAAACTCACTAGTTATCGAGTTCTGTAACAATTAGTTATTATTTGTACACTTGCATATATTTTCTCTTTTTGATGTTTCATTTTCAGCCCAATATTGACCATGGAAGCGTAACAATATTTACACATGATAATTAAGTATAGCTTCGTACAGGAACATGAAGATTCATATGTATAGGCTGAATAGATGACTTAGATGTTTAATCCCTTAACCATTGATTCACAACATCCTTTAACCGTATATATAATAATTTGGGGCAGTCTATTCGGTAAAAGAAATTATTTAAGATTGTAGGGATTTCGTGCATGTGAAAAAGATTTGTGTGGAGTGTCTTTGATTTTCTAGTCTAAGCTTGGTGATAACCAAACGCTAGGGATCTAACCCCTGTAAATTTTTGCTTTTCTTTTATAGAAAATAAGTATTGTACTTATTGAGCTTCTGCCTTACGCCGACACCTAAGTCCGTAGGGGTATCTTGAAACCTGGTCCCCTTTGGTATTCAAAAGTCGGGGAGTTACCGACTAAAAACTTATTACATGTGTCAAGAAGAGAAAATTAGGTGAGGCCAATGTTGGACTGAAAATAAAACATCAATAAGATAAAAATTATATGCAAGTGTGCAAATAAGAACTGATTGTTAGGGAAGTAAATAACTAGTGGGTTTGAATCATTTGTTATAAACTTGATTGTTGAAGCACTCGTAATTGGGAGAATCATCACATGAATGAATTGTTGACGTTACTGGTTAGACTAAACCGAATTTGAGTGGTGTAAGAAATTGATCAAGAAATCAAACTTTAGAATTACACCTTGGGAGATAATGAAATAAACAAGTTTGGAGGTGTGTGAATCCTACGAGCGTAGAAATGAGACAATTGACTACAGAAGGTTGGGAGTTGAACCAACCTGTGAATCTACGAGGTTACACTTGATTCCCTGTATACTCGTTTTGCATTTGATAAGTGGAAGTTTGGCTCTTGCATTGTATTATGAAGCCGTTCATAAATATGATATGATGTTCTCAATATAGAGCCAAAAGGCAAGATATCTTACTAAGTCTGTGTATTTTCTTTTAGTGATTTGGTGCTAAAGTGAAGAAACAAGTAAAAAACCAAGGAAAATAAGCAGAAAGCTAGTGCTTATGCGCCATATTAGGAGTGCCCAGGCGTCCTAAAACTGAATTTCCATGCGGCAACAACATAGCGCCATGACTCAGGTGCAGCAAAGGTCCAATACAAGGGCAGAAGAGTAGCTCCTAGGTGCTGGAGACCCCTACAGCTCCTAGGCGCCACCCAGGTAGTGCATCGAGCGTCGCCCACCAGTGCTTAGGCATCTCGCCGCCTATTTTAGGGTTGCACCGTTTTAGCTCGTGAAAAGATTGAAAGACTCCAAATTTGGGGAAAACGCAGGAATGATATAAATACAAGTTATTAACACATAAGTTGACGTTTTAAAGTGGAAAAAGAAGGGTGACCTAGACGACAATGTTACTGCATGGGTAAAACAGAAGAATAGAGAGCTCGAAGAAAAGAGACTGATGAAAGATCTAGGTAATACAAGCCACCAACTTCATGCCCCATACTAATCATCCTATTCGTCTTGAGATCCTGAGAAACACACAAGGAAGGATAAAATGTTACATAACATTAAAGAGTTGTGGTAAGTTTGCTAATAGACAATAAACTAAAGGGAAAGCCATGAACATAAAGGACAGCCAACAGATCAATATTAGGATTAAGATGAGCCTTGTTCAATCTTGCAACATTAGTATGGGAACTGTTAGCTAAAGTGACACATTTAGAAGAAATAACATGATGATAATAAAAAAACAGAAGCAGACGAACCAGTCACATGTTCAGTTGCTCCGAAATTGAGAATCCATAGAGAATGATAATAGACAATAAGAAGATGTAGTACCTGATTGAGCAAGAGTGGCTATAGAAGTGGAGGTGGCCCGTTTATGAGTTAAGAACTCAGCATACTTATCCCGTGGTACAAATAAAAAATCAGATTTTGATGTTGAACTGGAGTTAGCCATTGGTCCGAATACTGGGTTATAGGCCTCATTAGATGAGACCTGATTGGCAGATCCAGATGATTTGCCATATAAGTCCCAACAATAATCAACGGAGTGACCTATACGACCATAGTGAGTACATTTTTTATGTTCACGATTTCCCGAACGACCACTGGCTTTAGTATCTCGTCCACTCCAACTGTTACGTCCATCCTTGAATGAGCCACCCTGAGCAATTAAAGTAGAACGAACTTCGTTATGTGTACTATCTGATAGAGCAGAGCGCTCAATATGAGAAAATGTCTCTGCAAGACTGGGAGGCTCTTTTCCACCTAATATTTGTGCTCGGACTGCCTCAAACTCTTACGGAGACCAATAAGGAATTAAACATCGATGTATAGAAATATAGTCTTTTCCATTCTTCCACAACTCAATATGAAGAAAAAAAAACGATATTTTAGACCATAATTCTGCACTTGTGTTTTCCCTGATTCAAGCTCACGAGTTATATAACTGCCTGCTAACAATTTAACTTGAGTTTTTAATTTTCTGAACCATATAGGCTTTAACTTTATGCATCTTCCATTGCAGCAATTTTTGAAAGAGATATTGAATGAGCTATGTGTATACAATAAAAGGGGAACCAACCAAGGAATGTATGAGCTCAAGCCAGAGTATAAGAAATCTGTTGAAGATACAGGTGCTGAATAATGACCCTGTCTTTATCTGTAAATTAGGTTAAGCATTGGGGTAATACAGTTGATCAAACAAAGGAGTCCAGTATGATGTACAAAGGTGTACACCAGTCTGTAAATTAGGTTGTGCAGTGGTGTACACCTATCCTGTCAGATTTGGTGATGGTCCGAGTCTTACCTTTCTCAAACTCAAAAAAGGAGTTGAGGATATTAAAAAGCTTTATACTTTCAAACCGTAGATTGTGTCTGTTTCTGGATTTGAATCCCACTTCTCCCTAATATACTGATTGGATCAATAGTGGTATATATTATCTGACCAATGTTCTTTTCTTTTTATTTCCCATCTAATTATTGAAATAATGTTGAATGCAATTAAAGTTCAGTGAGTGAATTCTTAACTGTGTTTTTAGGGATGCAAATATAGTCAGATTTCTTATCTTTCGTTTTCTTTTTCCATGCATTTGCAGTCAGTGCTAATGATTGGATGAACTGAATGCAAAGAAATGAGATCAGATTTTTCGCCAGCTTGGTCAAATGTGCCTGATCTGAATATTTTATGGTAAAAATTGAGCTTAAGTAGCTCTATTAAATCTTAGCTCGTTTAGTTTTGGGGCTAGCTCATGATTTTTTATGGAAAAAGATGTGTCTATGAGCCAATATTGAAATGTCAATGGTCATGGCTTTGCCAATAATATCAGTAGTTTTTGGGGCTTCTTGCCTGGACACAAAAGCAATGCTTTTGTATATGATCAGATAACTGAAGCACATTATATCCCCAGTACCTGCTTGAATTGGGCAGAGCTATTTTTCAATTGCATCTGCTGTGCTTTTTATTAGAAATAACTCCTTTCTACTAGATTTGGTATCTTGGTTTGAATTGGCCTAGGTTTTTAACAGAAGCATTTGACTTCAATAATTTACCATCTTTTCCCTTAAACCTCAACAGCATCTTAATCCTCACTTATCTCTCTCAGCATGCATGATCATTGACACTACCGCTCACAACACTGTCTGGGTCCCAACATCCAAGATTGCAAACAATTGCATTTACAACCATGAAAACATTGCCCAAACACTGAAAATCCATCAAATGCACTCTCACTATCTTTCAACTGCCACCACTCCCCCACACCTAAAAAAAAGAAGAAAAAAGAAAATAAAAAATCACTGATTACTGACAAACCCAACAAAAACACCGTAAACACCAACTCAAAATTTTAAACATCTAATTATGAGGAGATTTAAATCGGTCCAAAAATGCCACTAGATCAACCCCACTTTCTGTTTCCAATCTTCTGGACAAGCCATCAAATTGTGCTTCAACCACCTTCTGTAACCAAAATAGTTGCCACCAGTTAAATCTGTCAAGACCACGTATAGGAAAATGAAGTTGAAAAATATCCCAAGCCATCATTACAGGTTAGCCTGGGTTGATATTATGCATCAAAGAAACATGTCCCTGAATTGATCATTTATTATCTTCCTTTCTTTATAACAGCACACAGAAGTGCCGAATCACTGGTTTCTAGTTGTCAATGTGATGATTGTTTCTTCGTGAATAATGTTGTTGCCTAAACTTTATGATGTCTTTCATCAAATTCGTACCTGCACATTATCTTGCAATGTTTTTTAATTGTTTTCCCCTATTATTTGTTATTTTCCTAAACCAGATGCGTGGATTTTACCCTGAAAGAAATTTTCTTAAACTGGTAGGCAGGTTTCAAGTTAATGATGTGTTGCCACTATATGGAATCCTCTACACGACACACCTCATCTCTCAATTTCTTTTCTTTTTTACCTTTTTCTTTTGTCATTTTTGGTGGGGGTGGGTGGTACTGGCACCACTTATTTATCTTGTCGGATTGCCATTTTTCATTCTGGGTTTAGAATGCAATTTTTAGTGATTGCTTCGTCCTTGTTGATACATGATTAAAACCTCCATATTTATATGCTATGTTCCCATGCTGACTGCTGTAGTTACCATTTATTTGATGGTTTCTGACAATGATGGTAAAATTAATTTCGGCAAATTTTTGAACTTTGTAATAGCTAATGAGTGGTCATATAAATGCAGTTTTCGTCTATTCTTGACAGAATTGGAATTTGTCTGCTCTTGACTATGACCTCTACACTAATTACATGTCATCATTACTCCAAAGAACGAAGATTACCACGTCCTGGGTCCTCTAAACCTTGCGTGCATAACTTGTGCTATCCTTAGTCACTGACACATATTTGAATTTAGATTAGCAGCATGATGGAGATAACCACAATACCGACAAAATAGCCTTCTATTCTTAACTTATGATGCTATTAGCAGTCTTTTCTTGAATTTTCCTAGTAGGCGCATTTTCTTGTTAGTGCGGCATTCGTGTCATTCTGAGAGTTTGATTCCTTGTGCTTTTTCTATATGAGTTCCGTTATATTTCAATAATCTATTATTGAGATCTAAAGCAAGGAATTTCTCTGTAGAATTTGTTATGCATAAATCAGTTTGGTTGTCGGTCTGATCAGCACGTGTTGCATTATTTTGTTAGAAGATATAACCAAAAATGAAGTATGTGAGGATGGCAGGAAATAGCTTCCTGAAATTGCAAAATTGATCTCTCTAGTAGTTAGATAATTAATTATCACATCTCGTGTATGAGTTTTGTCTGATAGTATGTGCATTTACGACGTGTCTAAATTTGGATCCCCCAACTCCACCGAGGAATGACATTTGCTTCAATTTAATAGTTAATCATTTTTAATTATTCACTTACAAACTATTGAGCTTACCTTTTGATAATATACAGCGATAACGTCATTTTCTTGCATTAGTTTCATAGATATGCACTACTGCACATCATCTATCCATGCAAGTTGTGGCTTTGATCTAATTATTGGGGATATGACTCTTCTAATGAATTTTGAGAAAATGCCTAGAATTATTAGTTTCATAGATTTGCCCTAATCATCTATCCTTGCAAGTTGTGGCTTGATCTTATTATTGGGGATATGACTCTTCTAATGAATTTTGAGGCAATGCCTAGAATGAACTCTTCTTGAATGTGAACGGCCACCAATGTGTCACCCACTGATTTCGCTTGTTAGATTCATGCGAGTCATGATGAAGATCACGAAAATGACCAACTAGGAATCTTCTGTCCCCTTTGGAAGATCTATACAGCATCTTAGGACAAGAACTATTTGCATTACCTTCTCAATATGATCAACTTGAGTGGAACTTTATTTGGTAATGGTGGCTTTGGGCAACCACTTATGGGACCGTTCTTTCCTTTTGGTGCATTCTAAAGGAACTGTTAATGGAGACCTTGTCACTCCCAAGAACGTGAATGTCAAAAATAGGCTACCAATAAAAGAAGAGAGAGAAAATTAGCCAATATTTTGATGTACTATCGTTTGAGGTGGTCCCATACATTAATGGTTTCTGAAGTATTCCTATTTTCAAGCTTTTAGGTTATAGATGATCAGGTTCACATGGTCATGTTAATATCTTGTTCTCTGTGTTGTTATCTTACTCGAACACTTCTCAAATCTATCTAAGCTTGTGATTAATTTTGTCGTATGTGGATCATAATTAACCGATTCTTTGGATATAGACTTGCAATTTAATCTGTTTGCTCAGGTGACTAACAAGGTTGTTGAGTATTGTTTTCTTTCTTTGATCTGCAGAACTATAGTCATATGATATGATCTTTACGTGAATTTGTAAAATAATTGGAATTTCTGAAATTAAATTATTACTAAAGCCATCTATGCTTACGTGGTGCTTCTGTATATCCATTTGCTGTAGCATATTTACATATACTGTGATGTTTATGGAACTGTATTCATACTTTCTGAGAAAAATGGATAACATTCCTGCAAATTGTGACCTGACATATTTCCTCGCGTACTTAATTTTACTGAGGAATTTCTGTATTTGCATCAACCTCTCTTTGAATTTTGACATCGAATTCTTGTTACCATTCTAAACCATTACATTAGTTTTCCCCTTCGATTAGACCTTATAATTTAATTTGTCTGGCTATACAGAGGTTTGCATACATGTAAGTTTTACGTCTAATTAGAAAACCTCGTTGCATATAATGTTCAGTAATTCATGCAATAGTTGAATATTCCTTTATTTTCTATGAATAATGAAAAGGAGACGTGCAGTCAATAAAGAACCTTGTATATATAGTGGTTTAGTCAATCTTTTATCATTTCCAGTGCTGTCATTATTAGAATACTCATCTTTGTGGAAAGAATTGTTTTTTTTTTTTTTTACTTGTGATAGCGATGTCGGTTATCGAGTTGTTAAGAACAGGATGAACTTGAACTGCATAAAGTTAATGACAGTGGGTTGATTTAGATGTTATTGTGAATGCATTGCATGAGCATATCTATCAATTTGGTGAGTGAAAAGTTATCTAGAGCCGAAATATCTGTGGTTTTACTTGAGTTCTGGTACTGTGTTTGAGCTAGTGGAATCACTTTATGGCAAGTGATACCAAACAAAAGCAATAAAGAGTGTTGGTTGCATTTATCTAGTGTTAGGTTTAACAAGAAAGTGGCCAAACAGCATGAAGTCAAGATAACTTTCCCAAAGCAGGGATCAATAGATCCTATTTGTCGATGGAACTAGAAAGTTCTTTTTTATATTATCGGAATTCTAGTTATCTGAATAATGAAAACTTTTGTGCATATCCAAAAGATTGTAGGGGACCCTTTATTATTATTTTTTTTAGGGAGTTAAATTTATTCGACACATTTGTGGCATGTTAGATTGAAGTGTAAAGTTTAACGAAAAATGCAAGTTAAAATCTTGATCATTATCTCGTATGGTACTGCTCAATATTGTGTATCTCTATTGGTTGACCAATGAATTTTTGAATGTCGATTTCTGGATCTAAGTCGTTAGCTGCCTATCCGAAGTTTGAGAATAAAGGGACTCCAGTTGTAGTACAAGGATAATGTAATAAGTTGTCAATTTTCTTTTTTCCCTTTTTAACACACTCCCGACGAAGCATTTATTCAACAAAGTCGTCGTGAACCACCGACCAGATGAAGAGTGTAGTACAATGACCCAATTTAATAAGACTGAGGTAAGGGTAGCGAAGGAAGCAAGCTCGTTGATCATTTTATTATCTTCTCTCTAGAGTAAAGTGAGAAAAACCACAACGTATACCTCACATAAGAGATATAATATCAAATAGAATGTGTGTGGAATTCAGCTAATATTCTTGTAAACTTTGGATAACTCGAAGAGAGTCAAATTTTTTAAATCTTACGCGACGAATGATGGCGAAGGAATGATCATATACCATAAACAAAATGAGATGAGCCTAGCCTAGTGCAAGTTATCATCCAAGCAAATCAATGTTGAAACTGGAAATTTCACATGATTTGCTTCTAGTCTAATAAGATGTTGAACAACAAATCTGGTTTGCTTTCTAATTTTCACCTACCCTACAGAAGCTGCTTCTACGGCGGGGAACAGTGTCATAA